GTGGGGGTGGGGGTGTTGTGGTAATTAACTGTGTCGGGGAGAAAGAAGGGGGTTGGGGGGTTGGAAGCTGGTTCTCTGAAATGGTTGGAATTTAGACTGTCTGGTTGGGACGTTCAGACTGACTGGAGGGGGAAGGGGTTAAGACTGACAGTGTTTAGTAGAAGCTGGCTGTCTGAGGTGGTGTGGGTGGGGTGGGGAGGGCGTTTGGAAGTTGGGTGTGGCTGTAAGATGTATGGGAGCTGGCTGGCACCACCCCACCTTGGAAGGTGGGGTGGAGAGAGCTGGGTGTTGAGCCAACATTACTATTCCCGTGTCGAGTGGTTTGATCATCCACGATAACACGTATCAGCGTTATTCAGTCATGTTAATCAGTCGTTATCGTGCATTATCGCCACCCTGAGGTGGCTCTAGGGCCCGGGGGGGGGGGCCAACAGTGTCCGGGGCGTTGACGATTGCAAAATGGAGAGTTGTCTCTTGTAAGAGCACCGTTGGTTGAGAGATGTTGCTAGTTCTAGCTCGTTCCCAACTTGTCCCGTGAAACAGACACTTGGAGCTGCCACGTCTGGGTCACGAGATCTGCTGTTTCAGTAATTCTTGTGAGTTCAGTTGTCAATTTATAAACAAGGAAATCAAACGGTGGAAGGCCCTCCCTCCCCCCCCCCTTGTTTACCTCACGTGATTCCAATTAGTTTGTCTAACTTACTCTTGAAACAATCCAGTAATGCTTCGCCTTTAATCTAAACTATTAAACTAAATTAAAATCTTATTTATAGCTCCTTTATTCCCTTTCATCCATTTGCATATTAGTCGTGTCTAATTGTTTATGGACAACGTATATTAAGTTTATTTAATTTGTTTAAACAAGGAAGACTTTCAGTTGCTTTCCATCTCTGTTAGTACAACACTTAGATACAGTACACATCAGTGCTTCTCCAGTCTCTTTGGCGTGGCGGTAAAACACACTCCTGGCGCTTCGCGAGCGTTTGTCCTGGGTTCGTATCTTGGTCAGGGAGGGTTGACTGGGCGCCAATCCTTAACTGTAAGCCTCCGTTCACCCAGCAGTAAATGGGTACCTGGTTGTTGAACGATTTGGCGGGTCGTGTTCCGGGGGAAATTAGGATTGAGGAGCTGCCCGAAGCGCTATGGGTGCCCGTGACTTTAAAAGAATGTAAGAACTATTGTATGTTTAAATAAAAACAAATAAGAGACCAAAAGTAAACTGCATAATCCTCGAGTTCTAACAGAAGCAAAGTAAAGGTTAAGAACAGCTTCAGAAGTGCCATTGATAAAGAAGACCTTGATTAAGAAGACCTTGACAAGGCCACCTACAGACGCCCTAAGGACAGCAAACTCATTTGCCTTGTTGGAGGACGAGTGCTGTGGTGAGCCTGCAGTTCACTCGGAACGGAAACCAGCGAGGAGCGGCGGAGCGCAGGCCCCTCAGGCTGCTCAGAAAGTTAAGGAGGTACCGAAGCGAATTTTGGTTGTGGGAGATTCCCAGGTGAGGTATTTAGACAGAACGTTTTGCGCCAGAGATAGGGGGAACAGATTAAGGGTTTGCTATCCGGAAGCTGGAATTGGTGATATTGTTGGAAACATGAATGATATTATGACGGGAAATGGGAACAAACCCATTATTTGTATTAGTGCAGGGGGTAATGATGTTGGGCGAGTTCGGAGTGAGGAACTAATACAGAGATTCAGGACAGCCATTGAATTAGTTAGGAGCAAGGGAGGAATCCCGATCATATGTGGCATTCTTCCAAGAAAGGGAGTGGGAAATGAATGGATGTCGAGGGCACTTGGTGTCAATTGCAGGCTGGAAAGATATTGCAAATCAAATGCAATATCTTTCATAGACAACTGGGAGCACTTATATGGAAGAAATGAAATGCATGCTTGTGATGGGGTGCAACTATCGAGGGCTGGGGTTGTTGCTGTTGCGAACTCGTTGGAACCAGTGGTTAGAGGTGTTTGTTTGGGTTTAAACTGTTAGTAGATAGTGGTATGGGAATTGATTTGGAGGAAGGAGGTAATAAAAGTATGTGTTCGTGGGAGAAAAGAATTGGCAAAATGATCAGGGAAAGAAAAGGGCCTCAAAATAACAATTCACTTAGGGTATATTACACTAACAGTAGAAGTCTAAAAAATAAAATTAACGAATTAAATGCTCTTGTCTGCACAGAAAAAATAGATATTATTGCACTTACCGAAACGTGGATGAATGTAGAAAATAGAGAACTATTAGCTGAATATCAAATAAATGGATTTAAACTATTTCACACAGATAGATATATTAGACGAGGAGGGGGAGTAGCCATATATGTTAGGGACAATTTGAAATGTAGTCTCAAAGAGGGAATCAAAACCGAGCCACACACAAACTATTTGGATAGAATTAAACGAAAAAGCAAATAATATTATAATAGGAGTTATATATAGGCCACCAAATTTAGACAGAATGGAAGCAAAGCATCTATGGGATGAAATACCTAGAGCATCTAGATCTAACAGTATTTGTCATGGGTGACTTTAATTTTAGTGGAATAAACTGGGTGAACAAAACAGGGAATAGTGAAGCAGAAGATTTTCTAGAATTAATTGACGATTGCTTTCTTACGCAACACATTAAGGAACCAACGCGGGAAAATAATATTTTAGATTTAGTGTTAACTAACAGGGAAACACAAATTAATGACATCGAAATAGGGAGTGAGCTAGGAAACAGTGATCACAAAGTAATCAGATTTAGCATAGAATGGAATAGACCTGTAGGAGAAAATTCTGTTAAAGTGCATGATTTTCGAAAAGCTGATTTTAATAGCCTAAGAATTTTTTTGGGTCAAATAGATTGGAAAGTCTTGGGTATGGGGTGTGGGCCGGTCTTGGAGCGAGATATGAACCCAGCGATAGGTGACGTAAAAGGGGATTTCGATGTGGATTTAATATATAACTTATTTAAGAATATTCTAAACAAAGCACAGGAACGTAGTATACCATACAAATTGAATAGATCGAATACTAATGACCCAAAGTGGATAACAAATAATTTAAAGAACCTTATAGGTAAAAAGTGAGCTTGGTACAAAAGGATTAAGAATGGGGAAGTCAGTTTAGAACAGGAATTCATACAACTGGTTAGAAATGTTAAAAAAGAGATTAGGAAAGCAAAAAAAAAAAAACTATGAAGTTCGCATAGCAGAGCAAGCAAAGTCAAATCCTAAAGTTTTTTTTCAGTTATATCGAACTAAGACTAGGGAAAGGATAGGTCCATTAAAATCTGAGACAGGTCAAATAACGGATAATGACAAGGAGATGAGTAGTATTTTTAACAAATATTTTATATCTGTATTTACTAAAGAAGAACTTACTTGTTCGGCTGAAGGCATATTGTTAAGTTCTTCTTTAGTAAATACAGATATAAAATATTTGTTAAAAATACTACTCATCTCCTTGTCATTATCCGTTATTTGACCTGTCTCAGATTTTAATGGACCTATCCTTTCCCTAGTTTTAGTTCGATATAGTCTAAAAGATAGTCAAAAAGAGATTCCATCTTCGATTTATTTCACTCCTTGTGTTTGTAAAATTTACTAGGGTGTAAAGCCGTGGAGGCCATACTATGGTAAGACTCTGACTTTACACCATTCATGCTTTCACTCTCTTCAACATGACCCAAGCTGTAATCCAACTTGGGCTAATTCCCCTCAATACCTCTGTGCCTCTTTCTAACGACTGTCGTATCGGAGAGAGGTAATTATCAGGGGCAAAGTGCCAAGCAATTACGGCTATATAGCACTGGGAAGGGGTATGGATAAGAATTTGGGATGGGACGGGGGGGGGGGGATGGAATGGTGCCCAACCACTTAGATGGTCGGGGACTGAACGCCGACCTGCATGGGAGTTTGCTAAAGTCAAGATATAGAATGTTTGTCCATTCCTCTGTCAACTGTTTAAATATATACTAGAAAAGAGATCGTGTTGACCACGAGGGGTTGTTAGCAAACGTGTTGTCCTTAAATCTCTTTAAAAAATGTAAACGAATGTTTTTTGCTGTTATCGATTCAAGGATTTTTCTTACAGTAGAAGTCACAGCAACTGGAGGACAGGCGTATGCAAGCGATTTTTTTTTAGATATATATACAAGAGTTGTTACATTCTTGTTTAATTTTTCAGTTTCATTTGTTTCCTCTGCTTGAAAATAGGCCCCACGTTGGCCACCCTCCGTTCTACAGTATTCAGCTCGATTTTAAGGATTTATTTAATATGCAAAATAAGGTTCCACTAAGCTCCCCCATTTTTTGTTTTACATTCTTAAAGGCATCAGTTATTTCCACCAATATATCAGTCTCTTATTATTAAGAGTTAATTATTTACATTCATTTCTATCCAAATCGTGAGGCTGTTTTGGTAAGAAGGCGAAGAGTCACAATAGCGTGGCTAAAGTATGTTGACCAGACCACACACTAGAAGGTGAAGGGACGACGACGTTTCGGTCCGTCCTGGACCATTCTCACAATCGACTTGAGAATGGTCCAGGACGGACCGAAACGTCGTCGTCCCTTCACCTTCTAGTGTGTGGTCTGGTCAACTGTTTAGGTAACCTCTCTGACACGACGTTGTATATATTTACTTTGAAATACATTGCTACTCGTTTGGTTTATCAGTGTTAAATAATATATATATATAAATTTTGTATCTGCTAATAGTTCAGTTTTCTATATTCATCCAAGTTAGCACAACCTCACCTGTGTACACAAGTGTACTAAACTCAACTGTTTGGAAGACGCGTACTGTTAATGTGCTTCACCGTAGGCGTGCTGGGTTGGGGCACCCCCCCCCCCTCACTTTCCCAACTCTTGTTTTCACTTGCTGTTTCTCAGCCGGACGGAAGCGTTTGTGCTCCCCTTCTCCAGATCTATCGCCATATACCTGTATCATCTCCGCCCGGCCCCTACACTTTGCCGGAACGGACATAATACGGGGTAGTAACACGTGCGCCTCCACCCCAGAGGCTGTGCCCACGTGGCGTGAGAGCCGCTGCTCATCATAGTAGAACTCATGGTGTACGTTGTGGATTATAGCGTCAAAATACTACGTGTTATAGGAAAGGACACGGGTTGTGCTACATCCAACCGGTTAAACCGGACCTCTCGCACCAGCCACCGGTTCCCATCACTTGGCCAAGGTAACATCCAGTGTGTGTGTGTGTGTGTGTGTGTGTGTGTGTGTGTGTGTGTGTGTGTGTGTGTGTGTGTGTGTGTGTGTGTGTGTATATACACACCCACAGGTACGTGTAAATAGTTTATTTCGGCCTATCCGTTGTCGTCTGAATCTTGGCAAACTGGTTTGGAACCTGTCGTGTGAACGGTCCCGGTGGTGCTCTGGGCCCCGGCTCCTGTCGGCGGGTGTGTCCACGAAGGGGGGGGTGGCCCTCGGGGTGAGGGTGGGGGGGGTGGCCCTCGGGGTGAGGGTGGGGGGGTGGCCCTCGGGGTGAGGGTGGGGGGGGTGGCCCTCGGGGTGAGGGTGGGGGGGGTGGCCCTCGGGGTGAGGGTGGGGGGGGGTGGCCCTCGGGGTGAGGGTGGGGGGGGTGGCCCTCGGGGTGAGGGTGGGGGGGAGTGGCCCTCGGGGTGAGGGTGGGGGGGTGGCCCTCGGGGTGAGGGTGGGGGGGTGGCCCTCGGGGTGGGGGGGTGGCCCTCGGGGTGAGGGTGGGGGGGTGGCCCTCGGGGTGAGGGTGAGGGGGGGGGGTTGGCCTTCGGGGTGAGGGTGGGGGGGTGAATGAATGAAGCTGGCTTTTGGGTATTTACTATTTTTGTTTACTATTAGTCTCCAGAATCGATCTATTTAGCTCTTGGACCCCGCCTTTCTAACATTTTTCTATTGTGTATACTACATATATTTCCCTCTATCATCCACATCTCCAGGAAGCAGTCCGTAGCAGTTGTCTAACTCCCCGGTATCTATTTACTGCTAGGTAACGCGGGCATCAGGGTGAAAGAAACCCTGACCATTTGTTTCTGCCGGGGCTCGAATCCGGCCCCCTTAGGAGTACGACCCCAGAGCGCTGTCCACTCAGCCGCGAGGTCCCCCTCGGTTGTGAAGGTGGGGCGAGGAGAAAGAGAAAGGGCAACAGGGGGTCGAACAAGGGGTTTAATGTCACCTACAGGCCGGCTACTCCACCCGGGGCGCCTGAGGGCATAACCTAGTGACCGACGCTGGACTTAACACTTACCTGACCCTCGCCAGCGGCTCTCAGGAGCCTGCAAGACCTCAAAGAGTCTCCCAAGAGTCTGGTGGAGAGGCAACTGTATTTCCCTCGTGCGCTCTCCACTCTTTCATCAAGGTCCATCTAGCTATGAGAAAGCAATGCATTTTTACCGGGTATTTATAACTGACGCTTAAACTGTGCTAATCAGAGATCAGCTCTGATTGGCTATCGTAGAGAGGAATTTCCTACGCCAAAAGGGGGGGGGGGGGCTGTGTGATAGTGGGAGGAGGGGAGGGTATTTGGGCCGTATTGTTGGGGGTGAGGGGGTATTTGGGCCGTAATGTTGGGGGGGGAGGGTATTTGGGCCGTATTGTTGGGGGGAGGGTATTTGGGCCGTATTGTTGGGGAGGGAGGGTATTTGGGCCGAATTGTTGGAGGGGGGGAGGGTATTTGGGCCGTATTGTGTGGGGGGGAGGGTATTTGGGCCGTATTGTGTGGGGGGGGAGGGTATTTGGGCCGTATTGTGGGGGGGGGGGAAGGGTATTTGGGCCGTATTGTGTGGGGGGGGGGGAGGGTATTTGGGCCGTATTGTTGGGGGGGGGGAGGGTATTTGGGCTGTATTGTTGGGGGGGGGAGGGTATTTGGGCTGTATTGTTGGGGGGGGGGGGAGGGTATTTGGGCCGAATTGTTGGGAAGGGGGGAGGGTATTTGGGCCGTATTGTGGGGGGGGGAGGGTATTTGGGCCGTATTGTTGGGGGGGAGGGTATTTGGGCCGTATTGTTGGCGGGGGGAGGGTATTTGGGCCGAATTGTTGGGGGGGGAGGGTATTTGGGCCGTATTGTTGGGGGGGGGAGGGTATTTGGGCCGTATTGTTGGGGGGGGGGAGGGTATTTGGGCCGTATTGTTGGGGGAGGGAGGGTATTTGGGTCGTATTGTTGGGGGGGGGGAGGGTATTTGGGCCGTATTGTTGGGGGGGGGGAGGGTATTAGGGCCGTATTGTTGGGGGGGGGAGGGTATTTGGGCCGTATTGTTGGGGGGGAGGGTATTTGGGCCGTATTGTTGGGGGGGGGGAGGGTATTTGGGCCGTATTGTTGGGGGGGGGGGAAGGTATTTGAGCCGTATTGTGGGGGGGGGAGGGTATTTGAGCCGTATTGTGGGGGGGGGAAGAGTATTTGAGCCGTATAGTGGGGGGGGAGGGTGTTTGGGCCGTATTGTTGGGGGGGGAGGGTATTTGGGCCGTATTGTTGGGGGGGGAGGGTATTTGGGCCGTATTGTAGGGGGGGAGGGTATTTGGGCCGTATTGTAGGGGGGGGGAGGGTATTTGGGCCGTATTGTTGGGAGGGGGGAGGGTATTTGGGCCATATTGTTGTGGGAGGGAGGTCTTTGGGCCGTATTGTTGGGGGGGGGGGGTATTTGGGCCGTATTGTTGGGGGGGGGGTATTTGGGCCGTATTGTTGGAGGGGAAGTATTTGGGCCGTATTGTTGGGGGGGGGGAGGGTATTTGGGCCGTATTGTTTGGGGGGGGGTATTTGGGCCGTATTGTTGGGGGGGAAGTATTTGGGCCGTATTGTTGGGGGGGGGAGGGTATTTGGGCCGTATTGTTGGGGGGGGGAGAGTATTTGGGCCGTATTGTTGGGGGGGGAGGGTATTTGGGCTGTATTGTTGCGGGGGAGGGTATTTGGGCCGTATTGTTGGGGGGGGGGGTATTTGGGCCGTATTGTAGGGGGGGGGAGGGTATTTGGGCCATATTGTTGGGGCGGGGTATTTGGACCGTATTGTTGGGGGGGGGTTATTAGGCCCGTATTGTTGGGAGGGGGGGGGGGGTATTTTAGCCGTGTTGTTGGAGGGGGGGGGGAGGGTATTTGGGCCGTATTGTTGGGGGGGGGAGGGTATTTGGGCCGTATTGTTGGGGGGGGGAGGGTATTTGGGCCGCATTGTTTTGGGGGGGGGGGGGGGAGGATATTTGGACCGTATAGTGGGGGGGGAGGGGTGTTTGGGCCGTATTGTGGGGGGGAGGGGGAGGGTATTTGGGCCATATTGTTGGGGGGGGGGAAGATATCTTGGCCGTATTGTTGGGGGAGGGTATTTGGGCCATATTGTTGGGGGGGGGGGGTTATCTGGGCCGTATTGTTGGGGGGGGGAGGGTATCTTGGCCGTATTGTTGGGGGGGGGGAGTATCTGGGCCGTATTGTTGGGGGGGGGGGGGGAGGGTATCTGGGCCGTATTGTTGGGGGGGGGAGGGTATTTGGGCCGTATAGTTGGGGGGGGGGGGAGGGTATTTGGGCCGTATAGTTTGGGGGGGAGGGTATTTGGGCCGTATTGTGGGGGGGAGGGGTGTTTGGGCCGTATTGTGGGGGGGAGGGGTGTTTGGGCCGTATTGTGGGGGGAGGGGGAGGGTATTTGGGCCATATTGTTGGGGGGGGGGTATCTGGGCCATATTGTTGGGGGGGGGTGTTATCTTGGCCGTATTGTTGGGGGGGGGGAGGGTATTTGGGCCGTATTTGTTGGGGGTGAGGGAGGGTTTTAGCCGTGTTGGGGTGAAGCTTAACCAATGTTCAGTGTTCATCATTAAATATAAATTGTGTATTGCATTGAACATTGAAGACACGACCATTGCCTCCCGGTACACGAACTCTTCAACCTTAACGTTTTGTTTTGCAGGTTGCGCACTCCAGCAATGAGCCAGAGATGTCGGCCGCATCCTTGGCGTCCTTTGTGTATGCTCGGCTGTCTTCCCCGGACGCAGACATGACAGGGAGACCTCGGCACTCCTTGTCAACTCCGAGGCTCACCGCTGTCTGGAGGACCAAGTCGATCCCCTACAACATTCCGGCCCACACCACATCTCCCTTCAAGGAGGACGGCTCGCTGTTACGGCTCCTGCGGGCCAAGTCCATGCCGTCTCTTGTACTGGAGGAGCAACTAGCCGCGCGAACTCGATTCGATCAGTCGCCAGACACTACATTTGATAAATCCCCGCCGAGGAGGAGGAGCAGCAGCTCTCCCTCGCCGCCTCCATCGGGCGGAAGGAGGTTGTTCAGACAAAGGTTGAGTCAAGATTTGAGGGAAGGAACAGATTTTACAAGTGCTTTTGTTAGCACACCAATGAATAGCCCGCGGGATCAGTCACCAGCAGAGCAGCGGAAGCTCACGCGGTCCGCCTCTGATGGCCACATCTGGGCAAGACGTAAAAAGCATCTGCGAGATGTGAGAAATGAGTTTCCAGTCGGTACCCTGCCATCAGTCAAGACTCTGAAGAACAAGTTTGACGGTAGTCTTGAAGGAGTTCATTTGACGACAGATTCGGGACAGTCAGACACACATGAGCGTCATCTTGACGCTAAGGGAACTCGCTACGTTACGAACAGGAAGTCCAGCCGCCATGAGAGTTTAGAAAGATGGGTCGGAGAAGAAGTTGTAGAGTCTCACGAGGAATTATCAGATCCTCTTGGGAAGACATTCAAGAAACTTTTACAGCGATTTGAAACTTCTCCTCCGTTTGACTCGAACTACAATGAACGCAAAAGAAGCCCAATGAACACTCGCCAGACAGATGGTACGGAGAAACCCCCGACATTCAGCCCAGAAAGCTCGTCTTCTCCGCGACGAGTCAGGGAAATGGTAGGAAGTCAGTCCGAGAGGAAGCCCAGACTTAAGACCAAGAGCAGAGACTTGGTCACTCGTGTTCGAGCGAGGAGTGAACCGGATCCTTCTGCTATAAAGCGTCTCAGCACCGAGACAGTCCCAGTGTCGGTGAAGAAGCTCAAGATGCAGTTTGAGATGCAAAGTGCTCAACAGGAAAGTAGACCGTGGCAGAGACAGGCAACAGCAGAGCCAGCTCTCAAGACAGCTAGAGCTCCTGTGGTGTCTTACCAACAAAATGCCGCTAGAGAAACCGGAAACAGAGACTCCTATCATCTTAAATCTGAGCTCCAGGAACTTAAAGAACGTGAGACAAGGACCGTGAAAGCTAGTCCAGAGGTGACAATAGACTCCAAAACTACACCTTCCGTTAGGAAACTAAAGATGCAATTCGAAGAGGCATTATTGGCTCAGTTTAACAATAGGACCATTGAGAGAGACGATACCAGCAAGCCTCGCATGGCCATTAAAGCGGGGCTCAGGTCACCCTTCGAGGGTAACTCCCACAGCCACGAATCAGAGATTACGAAGATCGAGGAAGTGGTGGCGGGTGGGAGTTTTGCCGCCTCACAAATGTTTTCCACTACTTCAGTAAGGAACCTTCTTCGCCAGTTCGAGACCAGTAGCCCTGAGGAAACCAACGACGAAGTACCGAAGTTTTCCTTCGAGCGCAAAGGTTCTATAGACCACAGATTCCCGATTGAAACCAAAAATATAACGGAAAGGATTCGCAAACCAAAATACAAATCGAGAAACGATAGACGACCAAAGCTTGAGGCAGATACTCAGATTGATAAAAGCAGCTCTTCCGAGAACGAAGAGGACACAGGCCGTGACAGAGACACAGTCCGTGACAAAGCTCCCAGGGCCAACGAGAGCTTCACGGCCTATGCCGGTGATGATGAAATGACGACAGAATTAAAGATACATAGAATAATAGATGAAGCTGTGAAGGAAAGTAATTGGGAGATCGATGAACATTGGGAAACGGAACAGAAAGGGAAAATAAATGACACCATAGAACAATCTCTGATAATTGGTAAGGAAAATATTGGTACAGAAATCCAAAAGAAACTAGAGAACACTGAAGACGGCGAAAAGGATAGGCGGAGAATAAGTGAAGAACAAAAAGAGGAAGACCAACGAAGTGAACAAGAACGAAGGAAGAGAGAGAGATTGGAATATTACCCAGTTGAGACGAAACCAACTGAAAATAAACAGGAACTCGTAACTTACAGAGAAATGGATGAATGTAAAATAGCCCCAAACCGAGAAAAGCCAGAAGAGGAAAAGCCACAGCAAAACCCCGAGATAAGGATAGATAACGTAGAACAAAGTAAAGAGACAACGCAAAAACGAGACGATAAGACTGAAACAAGCGGTGAAGGCATCAGAGACTGGCAAGATTGTTACGTGAAGGAGGGCTGGCGTACACACGAGGCCGACACGTCCGGCGACACGTCCCCGGAGAAGGTAGGTGAACTCGTAGGTAAATTTGCCACCATCCAAGAAACGGAGATTTCCGTCCCACTGGAGAACTCTGAAAAAGACCCCGCCGATTACAAAGTTGGCAGACTCATCGATAAATTTACTAATCCTCGAGATATGGACTTCGAGGAGGAACGGCAGGAGAACGGCGTCCAGAATCTGGTAGGCGGAGACGGCCGGAGACGCCTCTCTGATGTCACTGCTCTCGTCAGCAAATTTGCCAAGATCAACATGGGTGACCACGCGTTATCAGATTCGGAGGAAGCCATCGCAAAGGCGAGAGCCATGGCGCCAATTCCCACCATCCCAGCGAAGAGCGTGCCCGGTAAAGTTCGCACACTGAAGGCCGACGAGCTGCGCTTCTTCGAGACTGGCAACACAAACGAACCCTTCGTCAGGAGCCAGAGCCTCAGGACGAAGAAATCTGAGCCTCCACCATTTACTAAACCTCGAAGCGGATCATTACGTGAAAAGAAAAGCAGAATGGCGACTTTGTCAGAGCCAGAGGGCCACTCTACAGCGGCAAAAGCTTCTCTTCCGGGAAATTGCCGCCAGCTTCGTCCCGATGAACTTCGCTTCTTCGGCATCGAGGCAAACACTATTTACTCCGTGAAAGAAACAAGTATGGACATCAGCAACGAGGAACAAAATCAAACCATCCAGGAAAATCAAAGCAACGAGTCGCAGGATTTTCGTCTAGATAGCCAGGGTGATCTACGTGGGCTTAGCGGGTTCCCTGGCGAGGATAACAATCAATCCACGAACTTTGAAACCAAAACCGGTTTTGAAACTGACTCTGACTCCGAGGAAAGCATCCTGAGAGGGGGTGACTCTTACGATGCAGAAGACTTACTACTGGTAGATGAACCGCGTAAGTTAGACTTAATAGTTCCGAGTCACGAAAATTCTGAAACCTCTTCCGATTTTGAAGAAGAATTCTCCCATCAAATTCAACAAACTACTGTAAGGAATGTTGGGATGGAAGATGGCTTAGAGCCATTAGAATATGATGGAAGTCTGGAACATTCCCTTGAATTTCCCACTGAAGATGCTGCGATTGCCGAACAAAGCAAGTCTACCCTTAAACTTGCACCAGAGAAAGAAAACAATTGTTCTTCTGCAGCTGAAGAAAACGGCACAAATATTGACGTTAGAGCGAGAGAGGAGACTAAAGTAGAATTCAGTGATACGGAAGAAAATAATTGTATTCAGTTTAATTTAAAAGAAAGACATAGCACGGAAAAACCAAAGTATATAAATGATTCTAGTGAAAGTGATGCCAAGCAAAAGGAGGCACCCAAATTAATTCAATGTACAGACCTGTCCAGTGTATTGTCGCATCTTGACCCATACGCTGTGCACAGAGTCCAGCCCCTTCAAGTCATGGAAAATAGCACAAATATTGATTTTCCTCGGGAAGCCGAAGAAAAATCAATGAAACAGGAAAGCGGAGAGAATATCGAAGAAGCAAAGAGGGCAATTAATGAAAGCGCTTACACCTCGGTAATTAAAGAAAACATGTGTGTCTTAAGCTTGCAAGAAACACCAGACGACAGTGCTCAAGACAGAACCAGAAGTGGAGATCATACACACCTTCGAGACCAAAGCATTGCAGGTTGCACAGGGCAAGCTGCTCTACCCATCTCTACAGGCCCACTCGCGCAGGGCAATTTGCAATTATTGCTTCCTCCCCCGCCTATGCAGAGCGGCTTCGGACAAGGAGCACTATTTCTGCGTCCTGAATTAAGGAGCAAGTCAATGGAGGCGACGCTACTGCAGTTACAACAGTGGGTCAGGCTGGAGCACGATTACGTTGATCTGGGTCATCAATCACCAGATGGTGACCTTAGGGATAAGGTGGATCATCAATCACCGGAAAGTGACCTTGTGGATAAGGTGGATCATCAATCACCGGAAAGTGACCTTGTGGATAAGGTGGAGCATCAATCACCGGAAAGTGACCTTGTGGTTAAGGTGGATCATCAATCACCGGAAAATGAAATCGTGGATAAGGTGGAGCATCAACCACCGGAAAGTGACCTCGTGGATAAGGTGGAACATCAATCACCGGAAAGTGACCTCGTGGATAAGGTGGATCATCAATCACCGGAAAGTGACCTCGTGGATAAGGTTGAGCATCAATCACCGCAAAGTGACCTCGTGGTTAAGGTGGAGCATGAATCACCGGAAAGTGACCTTGTGGATAAGGTGGAACATCAACCACCGGAAAGTGAAATCGTGGATAAGGTGGAGCATCAATCACCGGAAGGTGACCTCGGGGATAAGGTGAAGAATCAATCACCGGAAAGTGACCTCGTGGTTAAGGTGGATCATCAATCACCGGAAAGTGACCTTGTGGATAAGGTGGAACATCAATCACCGGAAAGTGACCTCGTGGATAAGGTGGAGCATCAATCACCGGAAGGTGACCTCGGGGATAAGGTGGAGCATCAATCACCGGAAAGTGACCTTGTGGATAAGGTGGAACATCAATCACCGGAAAGTGACCTCGTGGATAAGGTGGAACATCAATCACCGGAAAGTGACCTCGTGGATAAGGTGGAACATCAATCACCGGAAGGTGACCTCGTGGATAAGGTGGAACATCAATCACCGGAAAGTGACCTCGTGGATAAGGTGGAGCATCAATCACCGGAAGGTGACCTCTGGGACAGGGTGGAGCATCAACCACCGGAAGGTGACCCCTGGGACAGGGTGGAGCATCAACCACCGAAAGGTGACCCCTGGGACAGGGTGGAGCATCAACCACCGGAATGTGACCTCTGGGACAGGGTGGAGCATCAACCACCGGAAGGTGACCCCTGGGACAGGGTGGAGCATCAACCACCGGAAGGTGACCCCTGGGACAGGGTGGAGCATCAACCACCGGAAGGTGACCCCTGGGACAGGGTGGAGCATCAACCACCGAAAGGTAACCCCTGGGACAGGGTGGAGCATCAACCACCGGAAGGTGACCTCTGGGACAGGGTGGAGCATCAACCACCGGAAGGTGACCTCGAGGATCGGGTGAATCAACCACCGGAAGGTGACCTCGAGGACAGGGTGGAGCATCAACCACCGGAAGGTGACCTCGAGGACAGGGCGGAGCATTTGATAAATTACATAAACGAGGATGAGAGAGGAGAGGCCCAGCTGGGCGAGAGGGCGGAAGAGACCACATTATCAGCAAATACAACAGGCGCGGGACCCAACGACGCTGGCCAGGGACGACGCTCCTCGGTCCTCGTTCTCAATAGTATCAGCGACCGACAATATTCTGATGACGAGTCGAGCTCGGACGCTGACATTGGCCTTCTGGACCAGGCTTTGTTGGACATCGATGAAATGGAGCTGAACGAGAGTCCTTTGCAGTTAAACTTTGCCACCTACCAGACGAACACGAGTTCGACTGGCATATCAGCAAGCTCAGCGTTAGCTGCTGCATCAGCAGCGTTAGCTGCAGCTGATGCAGCAGCAGCATCAGCAGCTGCAGCCGCAGCAGCTACGAAGGCGGCTCAGAGGAACTGTTCAAAGTCCGTGACGATTTTGTCGAATCTTGCTGCAAATGCAGAAAACCTTTTGTCGCTGGGAGGCGTCGGTGAGGGAGTGCGTCAGAGGGCTGTTAACGATTCAGCACCGACGAGTACTAATGGCTTTGAGCAGGGCGTCGGCACCGGGGCAGGCGTCGGCATGAACAATGCCCCAGAGAGTCGAGGAAGCAGTGACAGGCTTCAGGAAGCAGGGGCGGGAGAGCGAGGACAGACCGACACCTTTGGCAGTTCGGATTTAATTAATGAACGAGAATTTGTTGAATTTTGCTTCTTAGTGGTTGTGTTATCGGTTGTGATATATTATATTTCAATTTTGTTTTCATAATGAATTATTTTTTCATTCATTTTAGTTGGGTTAGATAATGTAGTAATTTTTAATTATAAATCCAATTTATCAGAAATTTACTCCATTGTCATAGTTTTTAATGTACATATTTCATTCTTGTCTCATTGTTGTGTAACTTTGAGTGGCCATGTAGTCATTAGAATACTTTCACTTTTTGCTATTTTCAGCTGCACTTGTTTGTCTTCGCGACCTCAAACTTTTCCCCTTGTGATGAAAAGTTCAAGATAATGTTATAAGCTCAACGAGGTTTGAAACCATGTTGTTTTGATGGGACTATTCACGTGAAAATTTTGTGTTTTCTTAACTTTGATCAAAGACTACTGATATGAGATGTAAATATTCATTTCCCGAAGAGGCTGATGGGCAATTTAATATTATTCAAGATACTCAAATTGTTATTAAAAATTACAAAAATAAATGTTAAATTGACTAAATTCCAAGCCATAAATTTCTCTCTCGGACTCGTATTATATTTCCACCCTCTCCCTTCTCTCCCATCTCTCCATTCACTCTACCCCTCTCCCACCCCTTCATAATTTCCTTATCTATACTTTTCCCCTACACACTAGTTACATTTCCCCAACCCCGTATGTACATTGCATTCTTAAAAATATACATATAAGCTGATTCCAATAAAATGGAAAATGTGAATTAACATATCGAGAATCCCCAAAATGAGTGGATTTTCAGGTGACGTCTTGCCTACAAGGGATTTCATCAAATGTAACAGATAAGAGTTCGAGGTGTTGTAGGGAGAGCCTGTGGTGTGTGGAGGTCAGTCAAGACTTACGAGGGATTGTGATGTAAAAATGTTTTAAAGTATTAGAAAAGAATGGAAGCACTGGTAGATTGTCCATGTTTATGATGGTGGTGTAGTGTCGATGGCTGCAGACCTTGCCATCGCCCCTAATGTTAGTTTTCTTTAATGATTCAGTTTTGCAGAGATTTGTGGAGTGGTCCTGCTGTGTGAAGTTTTGGTGTTACCGCCACGGCTGGTGTACAGGTGTTGCTCCTGCTTCCTGTGTGTTGCTGTTACTGACCCAGCAGGTATTCCCGTTCCTTAAACGTTAACAATCCGGCTTTCTGGATGCGTCATATTGACTGTCACAAGGAATAATGTTATACACCTCTGTTGTTGGGACTTGTTTAATTCTGCTGCTGACGAAGGTGCTGCTGATGGTGCTGCTGCTGCTGCTGCTGACTGTAATCGGATATTTTGTGCACAATGTTTTAGTTTTGCTGTACTGTTTGTGTCTGTTTGTTGCTGTCCTGTTGGGAGAAGAACCCGTCACTCTCCTCCGTTTTGTTCAGTATTCGTGTTAACTTTTTTTTTCTCTCCTTCCACATTCCCTAATGAAGGAAATTTTGTGTATTGTGTGTATTTTAGGTTTAGAAAAAAATGGGCTATATATTGACATCTCTCTTCAATGAACTGCCGGTTACATATACTTTAAGCTCGGGGGAAGAATCAAATCCCTTTGCCTCATTGCGAGAATACAAATACAGCATTCATAGGATGGTTGCACGTAAGCCTTTGGCCTTGTGCGCCCCCAACTTTCATTATTAGTGTGTCCAGGAGAGAAAGTAGTCTTTGTAAAGTAAATGCAATTTGTGGGTTAATGGTGTTAGTAATATTATTCCAATGGGAACGGCTTAGCTTGAAGCTTAAGACTTTATCCAGTAATTTAAGTGCTGGAGATTCTGGTCCTGAATGAAAGCAAGACGAGGCTTTAGCCTTCTCTCCGACACTGTGAAATTACATAGTTATGCCTTAATTTTCAAACTATGCCGCTTTAACTTTAATGATTTCAGGAGCACACAATGAAGTTTAGGAAGAGATGGCTAACATTGTTTACACTAATAATGAAAGAAGGTGACACACAAGGTCAAAAAGGAAACAGCCTATGAAATCGACCTAATTTTTGTTTGCTTTCGTCATAACAGGACGCATCGAGGCAGAGAGATTTGATTCTTCAGAGTTTAAAATAAATATATAACCAGCAGCTCCTTGAAGCGAAATGTCAATATTTCCATACTAAACCTTAAATAATCTATCCTCCATTAGGGATTGCAAGGCGACAACATTAACAGAACACTAAGCGAATCTGAGTGATGGTAACTTCTCCCAACAGGACAGAGAAAGCATTACAGCAAACATTCTAAAATAGTCAATATATCTTGCACAAAACAGCTACGACAATCTTTACTACGACGAAGAATATGCAAGTGAAATATATTTATTAAGTCAAATGGTTGAATCTACATAGTATGCCAGCTGGGTCAATAATACCAACGTCCCTTGTATCGCACAGGAAGCACAGGATCAACAACTGTAGATTATAAGTACGATAACCTCAAGACAACATCGATAGCAGACTGTTTACTCTGCAGCCAGATAACAAAATATCATCGTACACAATGATAGAAACTAAAAGTACTTCCCTTACTGATTTAATACTAAATAGCACAACAATTTCTCGTTTCTCGCCCTTACCTTACACTCTTCCATACGACTTACCATGATCAGAAATTTTCAGGCGAGACGTCAAATGAAAATTGATCATGGTTGTCAGTGTGGTCGAGTTGTTACACACACACACACACACACACACACACACACACACACACACACACACACACACACACACACACACACACTCACACTCACACTCACACTCACACTCACACTCTCTCTCACACTCACACTCACACTCTCACACTCTCGACTAATATGTAGTGTAATTGTGTAATTGTAAATTGAATGTTAAATTATCTAAAAAATGTGATGAATGAAAATGATAAGTGTACTAATTAAACTAACTCCTGTACATACAGTTGTATCGAAGAAATATTTAGACGAGTTTGTAGTGTTGAATTGTGTGATTGGTGCTTCGTGGTGATTGTAGCGCAGGACTGCCTCCATTTTTGTTACAGTTGAACTGGAGTATTGTCTTCAAAAATAAAACATGTGATTAACCAAACATCATTTGTATTGATGTTGGTCTTTATAATGTGTCCTCTTCCCCCCCCCCCCCCCGAGGGAGGCGTTTTGTTAATACTATTGTTTTGTGAAGTTGCTGTTTTGTTATATATTTGTTTTGTAAAATTTAAAGTGATTAAAAGGAGCCAGTTTGTTTCTACTTAAACTCCTTTACTTAGTTCAAAGTAACTTGTACGTTACTTACAGCTCCCAATAATGTGCTGCTGGAAATAGAATGCGATATTGCATTTTGTGTTTTACAGTTATGACATTTTATAATACATGTATTAGTTTATACGTTCGTGTACTTTCTGAACTGTTGTCAACTGAAAAATTCATGAATTTTATAGTTAGGAAAATCTATTTTATATTCAGTTACGTGTTAGTGTATTTGTTTATAAAATAAAAATAAAAAAAATTTAGTAAATGGTTTAAAACAGCCTTTTTATTTATTTTTTGAATAACCTGTGGCACAACTCTAGCGCCAACCTGTCTTCACTAAGACGAACGTAGGAGTTTAAAAAGTGCTTTTGTGTCGCCAGAAGCGTTCAGAGGTCGGCAACCGACCTCACCTGTCAAGGACAAAAGTCTATTAGTGTGACAGTGTCAATAATACAACGCTTTAAGAGACACTTCCTCAGCCTTGTTTCTGTGTTGATACTTACTAGTTCAGCCGCACACTAATTGCTTCTCCTCTATGTTCACATTTTGTTTACAAATATTAGCTTGCTTTATCCGTCTCCACGTTTTTGCATTTTTTAACCGATTTTCCATAAATTAATTTTTTTATCTAATTTACATTATTTTTAACTTTTACTATACTTTTTACAATGATCTAAGTGCATTGTTAACACAATTGTCTTGCAAGCGAGAGGACCTGGGTTCGAATCCTAGGCGAATTGGGACTATTATGTACCTTTCTGCACCAGTTTCCCCAAATAGTGATTGGGGGAAAAAAATTGCTGAACTGCTTCAGGCCTAAATTGATAAATATAAATAACTGCCTCGTATGGACCAATAGGCGTTTCTGCAGTTAACTTTATTATGCTCTTAACTATAAAAAATGACAAACAATATAGTTTTTTGTCAAATTATTTTTTAACGACACTTCCAGAATCTTATTCCTCCAAAACAGTGTCATCAAACTACCTCATCTATACAAACACAAATCACAGTAGCGTGATGCATCAACTGAACAAATCCACAAGGGCCGTGACGTAGGTTCGAACTCTCGTCACGGCCCTTGTGGATTAGTTCATCTGTGATTGGTTGCATAACATCACACATTTTGCACTGGTATTTGTTGGCTCTTGTTAGGCCCCATTTAGATTATGCAGTTCAGATTTGGCCACCATACTATCGTATTGACATACATTCACTAGGACGCGTTCAGCGAAAGAACGGTTAAATCCTCGGCTAATTAAATTAGTCTACAGTGCAGACGATGAGTCACAATGACGTGGCTGAAGATATGATGACCAACCACACACTAGAAGATGATGAAATGACGTTTCAGTCCATTCTGGACCATTATTAAGTCGTACCAAGACTATACGACTTAATAATGGATTAGGACGGACAGAAAGGTCGTTGTTACTTCATATACCGGTGCGTGGTTTGGCGGTCATAACCTATAGTGAAGAAAGTACCTCCCAGAGCCACCAATACTGTGATTAGATACGCATTCTTCCCATTCTCGTATTAAAACATCTGTTAATATGCATTTAATTACATCAAATGCAAAATTTAATATTGCTGGGTGTCAAACTCATTGGAATGAGAGAGTCGATATTAACATTGGGTGTGACCGAGAGCATTTGGGTATTGAAATTCTAGAGTTGTCTGACTTTTTGTGGAGAGCGAAATGGACAGTTACTTCAGCCGAGACTACAGCTTGATGCAGTTTTATCGTGGAGAAATGTTGGATATAAGTAGGATGATGGCCTCGCATGAGAAGTAGGGTCACGGCCTCGCATGAGAAGTAGGGTCACGTCCTCGCATGAGAAGTAGGGTCACGGCCTCGCATGATCCAATACGCTTTCTGCAGGCAACTAAACTCTTATGTTTTATGTTAAAGTGACTGGCATTAATACGGCTGTGTGGAAGGACCTAAATTCATTATTATTATTGGCATGTTAGGTAATTGTTATTTAGACATTTATTCTAGTTTTACGAAATGAACTACAAAGTTCAAGAGACTTTATTTAGTGTTTCCGTACTTTTTCCTCTACTACCTTCTACCCAAACCAGGCATCAATGTCCCTGCGGCCCGGTCTCTTGACTAGGCCTCCGGGCTGATGGTTTGATCAACCAGGCTGTTTGTGATACCCATGACGGTCGTATGAATTACATCTCAGTTGGTCGGGGTGCTAATGAACATGAACGTTCTCAGAGGTTAAAGGTCAGCTTAATGGTGTCCTCTGGCCTGGTAGTGTAGTTGATCCGTTCCTCCCACACATTATTTCTGTTCACATAGCAGTATATAAGCACAAATGAGTTAGACGACTGTTGTGGATTGCATCCTGTGGAAGATAAGTCGCTGGCCTTGGAGAAACCTCGAAGACAGGCATCCTGTCCCCAACAAGAAGTCACCACTATATGACAAAGTTACAGGCATTTTATGTCATCTGGTTCAAATTCATTGGTATCGGATTCCTCATTAATAATATCGCAGTGTGGGGCCCAACCACTTCGACCATCCGGGATTGAACGCCGACCTGCAGGAAGCTAGCCCGTCGCTGTATTGAGCGCTCGGGTGTTTCTCGTCTGCCGTGACCTGCTGTAAGTCTTGATATCTCAGCCTAGTTCTGGCTAGAAATGGTTTAAACTGCTAAGACCCAAGTGTTTTCCAGGTAGCACAATATGGCTGACCTTTGAATATAGTTCGGGGTCACCGTAGGTCGTGGGGTCACCGTAGGCCATTCCTGATAATACTTGCGTTATCTGCCGTTTGAGTCGACGGGAATGTGTCTCATCAGAGGTGATATTTTTACAAAGTGTGCTTTCATCAAGGGAGATCGTGATCCCTAATTCCAATTCGATTTCATGTTCTCTCCGTCGGGCTGTCTGTCTGTCTTTGTGGTGTGTGTAGTTGTAATGGCTTAGTGCTGTCTCCTGATAACTACCTTACCCCCCGCTCCCTCCCTCCCTCCCTCCCTCTTTCTCTCTCTCTTTCTCTCTCTCTCTCTTTCTCTTTCTTTCTGCGTCTTTCTGTCTTTCTTTCTCTTTCTTTCTCTCTCTCTTTCTTTCTCTTTCTTTCTTTCTCTTTCTTTCTCTTCTCTCTCTCTCCTCTCTCCTCTCCTCTCCTCTCTCCTCTCTCCTCTCTTCTCTTCTCTCTCTCTTCTCTCCTCTCTTCTCTCCTCTCTTCTCTCCTCTCTTCTCTCCTCTCTTCTCTCCTCTCTTCTCTCCTCTCTTCTCTCCTCTCCTCTCTCTCTCTCTCTCTCTCTCTCTCTCTCTCTCTCTCTCTCTCTCTCTCTCTCTCTCTCTCTCTCTCTCTCTCTCTCTCTCTCTCAATATATTCTCCTGTTCCTAAGGAAGTCATTCACCTCAACCCTAATTGAAACATTAGGTGTCTTCCCTTCTATGCCGTGTCCACTCTGTGTTCCATAACTCTCCAACCGCACACCCGCCAACCGCACACCCGCCAACCGCACTCCCGCCAACCCCACACCCGCCAACTCCACACCCGCCAACTCCACACCCGCCAACTCCACACCCGCCAACCATCCAGTAACCATACATTATGTTACAGCTACTCCACACACACACTCTCGGCGCTGTCAACCTTTACTACTCTTAATTCACCACGACATTACCTGAGCACCCCCTCCCCCACCTCCTTCCCTCTCCCTCTCATATCTACTCCCCCCTCACCCCTCACTCCCCCCTCACCCTCACTCTGGAGGGGTGTAAACATTTAGTGAGACGTAATTCACAGCAGAAGGTTGGGGGGAGAGCGCTAAGGTCAGAAAACGCAGACAAGGTTATACGAACCTGAACAAGGAGATTGGGGAGTGGCAGCTCCTTGTTCTCGTACCCCAGCTCCTTGTCCTCATACCCCAGCTCCTTGTCCTCGTACCCCAACTCCTTGTCCTCGTACCCCAGCTCCTTGTCCTCATACCTCAGCTCCTTGTCCTCATACCTCAGCTCCTTGTCCTCATACCCCAGCTCCTTGTCCTCATACCCCAGCTCCTTGTCCTCATACCCCAGCTCCTTGTCCTCATACCCCAGCTCCTTGTCCTCGTACCCCAACTCCTTGTCCTCATACCTCAGCTCCTTGTCCTCATACCTTAGCTCCTTGTCCTCATACCCCAGCTCCTTGTCCTCGTACCCCAGCTCCTTGTCCTCGTACCCCAGCTCCTTGTCCTCGTACCCCAGCTCCTTGTCCTAGTACCCCAGCTCCTTGTCCTCGTACCCCAGCTCCTTGTCCTCGTACCCCAGCTCCTTGTCCTCGTACCCCAACTCCTTGTCCTCGTACCCCAGCTCCTTGTCCTCATACCCCAGCTCCTTGTCCTCATACCCCAGCTCCTTGTCCTCGTACCCCAGTTCCTTGTCCTCATACCCCAGCTCCTTGTCCTCGTACCCCAGTTCCTTGTCCTCATACCCCAGCTCCTTGTCCTCGTACCCCAGCTCCTTGTCCTCGTACCCCAGCTCCTTGTCCTCATATCCTTCCATTTAATAATTAGTCTCAATTTCAATACGTTGATATATTCTAATGAAATAAATAATATATTACCATAGCGTTCATTAAACTGAATTGACGCTGTCTCAAGTCAAAAATATAAAACAGTATTTTCCGGATTACTGGAATCTTATATTTATTTTCTGTGGCTGTCATCCTTAGATGGTCAATATCTGGGTAAGAAGTCCACAACGTCACAGTTTTGTTTTCGTAATGTACAAGTCATTACAATGTAATAAACATTGTAAGGTAATGTACAGGAGTATGAGTCAGATTAACAAGTGTACAGCAGTGTACATCGGACTAACAGGCTTCCTGTGTATGAAATTGGGGAACAATATAATTGGTCTGACCAATATCTCTCTCACTATATATATATTAATGTCGTACCTAGTAGCCAGAATGCAGTTCTTGGCCTACTATGCAAGGCCCGATTTGCGTAATAAGCCAAGTTTTCCAGAATTTCAATATTTTTCTAAATTTTTTCTTATGAAATGGTAAAGTTATTAATTAAATTATGTATGAGCAATTTTTTCTTTAATTTTAGTTAAAACGAACGTAGATATATGACCGAACCTGACCAACCCTACCTAACTTAACCTAACCTAAACTAACATAACTAAATCAATAATTTATGTTCATAATATAATATAATATAAAAATATTAAAATAAACCAATAAGAAACAATTTATTGAAAATAAAGAAAATCACTCGGCCTATTAGGCTAATTGGGCCTGCAT